TCAAACCAAGTCTCTTCCGTGAGTGTTTTGACGATCTTTGGAGGGGGAGGAGGTGGCTGAGCTTTCTGCTCGTATTCCACAATTACTTTACAAGCACATGAATCTTGACCCAAATCATTTTTGGCAACAACTTCGTACTTTCCTGGCTGAACTTTCTGCAAATTCAACTCGGAAACATTTTGGGTCACTCTGTCAATAGCAGTGTTTTGATTTCGTTTCAGTTCGAAGTTGTTCCACAACCACATAAACGATGCTTCTGGAATGGCGTCTACGGCTGCTCTAAACTTCAATGGTTGCTCCGAGCGTATTTTCAGTGATACAGGGAGCCGCTCTGTAAATCGAGGCGGTTTTGGCAGATCATCTCTAACTGCGATTGTTATCTTCTTCGGCAAGGTGAACATCGTTGGCTTGCTCGTGGATGTGACCGTAGTTCTCTCATGAACTTCTTCCACGATTGTCTCCGTAGTGACCCTTGTGACGGCGGTAACGTCCCCAAGTGGGTTCTCTGCCACCACCTTGTACAACCCTGCTGTGGGTCTTTCGAACGTTGCCACACTCACATTCTCAGCTGGCTCGATTATCGAGATGTACTGGGAGTTCTTGGCTTCGAAATTGTTCACATACCAGCGGAATGTCGCCGGTGGAATGCTGTCTACTCTAGACTCTAGTACTAACTTCTCTCCTGAAGGTACATGGACATTTTGGCTCGGCGCGGAGAGTAATATAGGTCGTTTTGGAATGCTTTCTTGAGTGCGCTTGCCAATATGTACAGACCTTGTCGTGACGACAGTTTCCTGCTGAGTAATCTTGGTTTCCTCCTCCTCTTTGAAATGGACACCCGCTTTGGGTTCCTCTTTAGGCACTTTCTGAATTGGTACATGAGCGACTGGAATGGAAAGTTCTACTTTTTCATGTGCAGTTGGAGGAGGTGGTTCTCTCATTTTGACGGTTTTGATTGAGGAAGATGAGGGAGGCGAGTCGACACCGTCGATCACCTCCCATTCTTCAGTTGCGCTCGTCACAGTCACTGCAGACTCGACGATATCGGGTACAACCACTATTTTTGGTTTTTCTGTTGTTTCACTTCTCGTCTCCGTGTACAGATGCACCACCTTGGTAAGCAGTGTTTCTCTGCCTTGTTCGTTGAATGCGGTCACGCTGTACTTTCCCGCTTTGACAGGCGGTTGTACCACCAGCGTCGACCTATTCTGTTCGCTTAGTACGGTGACATTCCTTGACGGACGGACTTCGAATCCGTTCACATCCCACTTGAATTCGGCCGTGGGAATGGCGTCAACTGTCACGGAGAGGACGAGTTTCTCGTTCGGACTGATGGATAGTTGGGACGGCAAGGTGGTACGGAATTTCGGTGCATGGGGCAGATAGCGAGCAGCACCTTCACTGCGCGTTTTGAACAAGGCTCGCGGTAGGCGTTCCGGGAGCCGGGTGCTGCTGCTGGTTTGTTCTGAAACGGAATTAGTTTCACACACTATGTAAGTATTGTTCGAGTCAAGCAACTTTCGCTGAGATTTAGCGCTCCATTCACGTTGTTGTACCACTCAAAACTTAAAAGCTTTCAGTAATGTAATCGAGTACGAAAAGGGAAAAGCTGAAATTTGTTTGCAACCGAAAAGAAGCCTAACTTGCTTCGCTGTATTCTGCAACAGAAAGAGATTAAGGTGTAAACCGATTCTCACGACAGTATCCCGCAGCCACCTTGCATGACTTGTCCCTAAAATGCCGGCACGAGGAAAATGTTTCCTTTCCATCTATTTGCCCACGCAAAAGCTACCGCAAAGTTTGTCGCGCTTTGGCATTTGAAAATTCCTTAATGGCATTAGCCTCGGCCTACACCCAAAGCTGCAACAAAAAGGAAACTTGAATAATCACATAATTTGCAACTGAAAGAAAAATCAGACGGCTTAACATAAACGGCAAAAAATAATAAATGATTTCTATAATTGGGACCGTACTTCCATATTGTAAGCAGGCACATAAAAGCAGGATAAGTAAAGTACGGCATCAACTAACGCTCCAAATGCATTCTAAAATTGCATCAGAATACCCTTCCATTGATGTTCCAATTTCTAATAGTGTGTATTTTGAATTTGTATTTCTGCTTGAGCGCTCAAAAATATGGCATTATACAGGGTGTCCCAAAAGTAAGTACACACTTTCTAACCGTTA